ATATATATATATGGAAATGAGATATTGCCATACTGGAAATACATCACTTACCATCCTGACCATCATCAACCAGAGTCTCAACTTTTTCTGAATTCTGAGAAATTCTGGCTTGTGATAGAGGACTCTTGGTTATCATGCTTGACTTTCGGCATACGCGGAGGCCATTTCTTTCTCTCAAAAACCCTGTGGCTGACTTGGTTTTCATTTTTAGTGATGGCATTTGATCTGTGCTTGTGATATCTATCACAGTATAGCTTCGAGAACATTAGCAGGGAACAAACCTCTTCAAAATATCAGATCAGCCACAGGAGACTACAGTAAAAAAAAGGGATAAGATAAAACTAGTAAAACAAGAAAGAAATTCAGCAACTAGATGAAGAGACAACCTACAATGAAATCAATAACACAGACTAAAACTGTAATGTAGTTCTTAAAAAACAGATTCAAAGCTAATCACAGTAATAGTTCCAGAAAAATATATTAGAAATCAATAGCCATTAGCCAGCATCAAATCGTATTATCTTTTTCAGATTCTTAACTTAATGACAAATAGGAAGAATTACCAAGCACACAGAAACTTTAAATAGAAAGAAAATTAATTGACAAAAAGTTCTCCAAATTTGAAAGAATGACCTAAATGGATTTCATATAAAAATTCTAATTTTCCTCGTCTATCCCTGGAACTTACTACTATCTGTGTGCTTGATTGACTTTATTTTCCATGAAAAATGTTATTTTTCCATCATAGTTCCTACTTTTTGGGTGTTTGATTCACATTTTTTCCATTAAAAATATTTTTCAAAAGTTGGTCACGTGATCATGGTTGCCTTAGAAACAAAGAAAATATTTTCTTTATGGGGATAGCTTTTTAGCTCCTGTTTGACACACATTCTTTCAAAATAAATCATTTTAAAACTCATTTTCAACTCCACATTTTTCAATAAAATAATATTTTCCATCACATCAATAATTTTTCCTTACTTCTTAACCACATTTCCCATCATATCACTATTTAAAATACATTCGTTCCTCAATAACATTCATCAAACACATCCTTATTTTCTAAACAATTCACACTTCCGAACAACTCAACTTTATGAAAAGGTATACATTTTCTAGGTTGAAAATTAAACAAATCAAACACATTTAATCGACAATTTTCATGCAAATAACTTTTAGGCAATTCAATTGCCTAGAACTTATTTTCTTTCTATACAAGTTTCATGTTTGTAATCAAGCACACCCTAAGAAATTTCTAGTAGCGGAGCCACAATTGGGGAAAGGTGTTGCAATTGCCCCCTACGACATTTTTTATTTTTTCTCGATTTATACTGGATTTATATAGAAATTTTTAAATATATACATAATACATATATATTTTGCCTCTGCAACATTTTTTCGCCCCCCTAAGTGAAAATCTTGGCTCCACCGCTAGTTTCTGTAGAAATTCATGGGCCTAACTCATCTCACAAAACCGGTTCAAAAGAGAGGTTTGCCACATTGGTTATAAACTGGCCCAAGACATTGTCCACAGGCGATGTGGGATTTATTTCCAACACCCTCCCTCACGTGCAGGCCAGTAATTTTTCTGGTCCTTGTCACGGGGTAAGTAGTGTGGGCCCACATCAATCCTGTGGTAGGCTCTGATACCATGTTAGGAATATTGGGTATAACTCCACCTAATAAAACCGGCTTATTAGGGGAGGATTGCCCTCACCTTATTAAGTGGATCATTTATATTTTCCCAAGCAATGTGGGATTCTAATACGCCCCCTCACGCACAGCGTGAACCATGCCAAACAACTGTGAACAAATCGATATTGGGTGGCACCCAACATTGCATAATTGGGCCTAGCTCTGATACCAGTTAGGAATATTGGACCTAACTCCACCTAATAAAACCGGCTCAGCAAGAGAGATTTGCCACATTATTTATAAACTGGCCCAAGACATTGTCCACAGGCGATGTTGGATTTATTTCCAACAATTTCATCAAAGAACCACTATGTTTATGCTCATCTTTAGGATATGACATTCATTTAATCATGATACTAAAATTAGCCTGGATTTCCTAACGAATTCTAGAAAACAAACAAATTACAACAAAGGGTCCTTCTGCGGTAGTTCCTATCTTTTGCTCATCTAGTACTTAAATATATCAATTTTAATTATTTAAAGGAGAGAAAAAAGATATCTCGTAATTGAAGTAATCCAATTTGTTTTTATTCAGTATATTAGACCGTCTTATTCAATAATAAGTCTCAACTGACTAGACAAAACAACAACTAAACCCAACAAAAAAGAAGTGAATCACAATTTAGGTGACATCACAAAAGAGCATAGTCTTTCCCAATCATTTGAAAAGACTATGCAAACAGATATTCTCCTGTGAGTATAATTTATTTCTCAATTGGGGTTAAGTTGCCATCTTGACCCAATTTAGTTTTCTCAGCACAACAGAACATCGTCAAAATTTAATCTTTATGCTTCAAATCACTAAATCCTTCCATAAACAATAATCAACCAAGTGGACATCCATACAAAAAGCTATTAAAACCTTCCAAAGAAAAGGGAAAATTTAAAAGAACTGAGAAACTTCCCGAGTGCTTCAAAACAAAAAATAAATAAATAATCCCGAGTAAGAGATCACTGTATATACATACAACATCTTGTATTTGTTGCTTACATGTTGCATCTATGTAAAGGCACTTACATCTTAAAGTTTAACATCTAAAACAGTAGGAAAAATATAAAACTAAGGTTCAACTCGAAAGACTTCACTAAAAAAACACGTAAAATGGAATCCAAACCCAATACTCCCAAATTTCTTCCTTAAAAACCCTACATAATTCAAGTAACTCCGATAAGATCGAAGTCAACTCAATTCAAGCACTTCAATTGCATCGTATAACAGTTCATAATTAATTTATAGAACATTGACAATTTTACATTAAAGTTACATAATTTAATTTCAGAGCCCTTAAACACATATTAAATAGAAACCCTCGAATTCAAACAACATACCTGAACTCAACCAGTTGCAAAAGAAGATCTTTATCAACTATAATTGTGTTCATATATACATACATCATATCTACTTTATAGACTCATACAAATGATTATTACCTGCACAAATAGGTATCTAATTATAAGAACAATTATCCGTTGACGAATATACTAAGAGGATTTGGATGCGAGTTATAGATACATTATGTGTATATCTATACCTGTGGAAAAGAAGTCCCCTCTCTCTCTCTCTCCAGCGCGTTCTCTCTCTCTCTACAACGCGCTTTTTTCGCTCCAATGCGTGTATTTATAGACAGTTAGGTGGGCAACTCCTCTGGAGTGCGCCTTATAATAAAATTCATTGTTTAGGGATTGTACGTAGGCTTTAATGGGTAAGATAAGTCATAGTTAGAGTAAATTTGTCATAAATGTACAATTTATAAAGCGTAGTTCGAGGGGTTTGAAAGTAGATGATCTGAGCCTTTTATTGTTTCATTTTCTGGAGGACAAATGAACGGCTGAGATTGAGTGTTGTGGGAAGTGGGACCCGCCCAAGTAGACAACATGAAATGTGAACACGTGGTGCTTCGTGGAAAGAGAAGAGTCATATGAAAACTGGCTCCGGGGGTGGAGCGTACGTCACACGCTCCTCAAGCTGCTTTCTTTTTCATTACCGTAAAATCAATTAAAAAAAGATTAATAACAAAAAATTCTCATAAAAACGTTTTTATTTGCAATATACTACGTATCTATTAAAAATTACAGACAATCTCCCTGTTTAAAAACTTTTGTCCCAAAAAACCCCCTAATGTCAAGTTCTGTCAAATTTTTTGTTAAAAAAGAAAAAAAATGCTAAAATTAAAAAAAAAATTGCGATAAATTAAATCTAAATTTTTTATATGGCAACTTACAATCTCAAATCTTTAAAATCATATTTCCCACCCCATCCCATCCCCACTTCATCTTCTTTCTCAAAAATAAAAAAATTTAAAATTATCTCCTTCAAACACCCAAGATTTTCTGGTATTGCTAAAGTAAGAAAAAACTCGAGCATCGCACTACACTGCATTGTATAGTCTTCTCTCTCCTCTCCCATCAATCTAATCACACCCAACTCAAACCATTATCACGTTAACTTTAAAATTCCTCTCAGACATTTATCTTGTTTTGTACAAAAATAAAAATCTCTTGGTATATCAACCAAGAATAATAATTCATCCCTTTTCCTCTTTTCATCTTGATGATCTCCATTTGAAAACTGGCTCATCAAATACCTAAATAATCATATATTGATGGTTTTATGAGTTACTTGATTTAAGACTATCTTGTCTATTATTCCTTCTTTTCCAGTCCTTGTCAAATTTTCATACAAATTTGAAACCTAGAATATGAAACTGGTGCGGCTGTCTCAGATCAAAAGATATTATGTTAATTTAAGACTACCTTGTATATTGTTCCTTTAGATATTAAAGATATCTGCGGTTATGGATTCTTTCTTGAAAGTGGAGATTTTGAACTCGAGGAACAACATTGTCAGTACAGGGATCCCGTCATTTTCTTCGACTGGAACATCATCTTCTGGGGGTTCGACTTTAAGCCAATGTGAGAACCAAAAACATCGGAACTGGAACACTTGTGGGCAGTACCTGAAAAATCACGTCTCTGCTTTCGCTTGCATGGTACAAATATTGAATTAAGTTGTGAGATTTAAGATCTAGAATAAAACTTATGATATCATAAAAGATCAAAAAAATTAAAGGAAAAAAAAAAGAGAAAAAGGTGAATCCACCGAATGTTTTCTTTGAGATCGGAATTGAAGAATCTATAGTATTGGTGAAGAAGGTAAAGCGGAGTGGGGCGTGGTGTGGTGTGGTGGAATATAAAATTCAAAATATTTGGGATTCTATGTGGCACGTATAAAAAATTGGATTTAATTTGTGAAAAAATAAAAAAGTTTTAGTACTGAATTTGCAATTATTCCTTTTTAATTTTGGCATTTTTTTCTTTTTTAACGAAAAGTTTGACGGAACTTGACGGCATTGGGATTTTTTGCACAAAAGTCTTCTAATATGGAGGTTTTCCCGATTTTCAATATGTAGGAGTATATCGTAAATGAAAACGTTTTTAGGGGGTTTTCTGCTATTAATCCATTAAAAAAATACTAAGCATATGGAAACATTTTTTTACGATTTCCAATAGGTAGGAGTATATCACAAATGAAATCATTTTTTTCTGCTATTAATCCAGTAAAGAAATTCTAAACATAAGGAATGTCCTCTTGTTACGATCGCGCGGCAACAAATGAGATCATACCCATTGAACGCCTTTTAGACCAAATTACTTTTATGTATTGTAATCAAAATTTGAATAGTCATTAGGCCTGTAATATTACGATTAGAAGAAGATGACTACACCATCATGTGAAAGAGATATGTATAGCCCACAAGGTAAAGGACATCGCCCCTAGTGTTGGATAGACAAAAGAAGTCGTGATATCCATATTTATCCAAAGCAGCACCATATAAATGGAGTTACAGAGCAAAGCAAGTAGCTCAATAGCCATAAATAAATAGCCTTGATGAAAACAAGAAGACAATGAAAAATCAAAACCAGTGTAAACCTTCCTTTTCAGAAAGTAACTTGTGAAAAAATGGCTTAAAGGGCTCTTTTTACTTCTTTTCAAGCTTAGCCTAACATGAAGCTAGCAATATGAACATGGAGAAAGCTACGGCTTAGTTCAGTACCGATATAAGGCTCATGACTGACTTTGAGAATTCCGACGAGTCTAATAAGTATTTTAACTACTCAGATTTAGTTAATTATGCACTACACAGTATGAGTACCGAAGAACAAATGACTGTTTATTTATCAATTATTCAGAGAGTAAGCCTTGTGCAGCCCTTATGCTTGCAATTAAAGACCCAACTTTCCAAATCATTGCTTACAGTGAAAATTTCTTTGATATGTTGGGTTTAAATGACCTTGTTGTGGTTGACTCAAAAGAATTGATGGGCTTGATTGGAGTTGATGTAAGAAACATTTTCATCCCTTCTTCAAGTTCCTTACTGGTGAAAGCAGGAGCTTCGAGAGAGATTTCTTTGTGGAACCTAATTTGGGTTCATTCTAAGGCTACCCAAAGGCCATTTTATGCCATACTTAACAAAATTAATGTATGAATTGTGATTGTTTTGGAGCCTGTTGACTCTGGCGAACCTACATTGTTGCATTATGATGCATGCAGTCCCAGAAACTAATAGTTAAGGCTGTTTCTAGACTGCAGTCTCTCCCCGGGGGAGATATAGGGGTTTTATGTGACACCGTGGTAGAAGATGTTCATAATCTTAGTAGGTACGATAGGGTTGTGGTCTATAAATTCCACAATGATAATCAGGATGAGCTTGTGTCGAAAATTAGAAGGTATGACTTAAAGTCCTATTTGAGTTTGTACTATCCTGCAACAGATATACCGCAAGCTGCACGATTCTTGTTCAAGTAGAATCTGGTTAGGATGATTTATGACTACCACTCTCAACCTATTAAGATAATTCAAAGTGAAGAATTGAAGCAACCTCATCGTTTGATTAATTCAACTCTTCGAGCACCCCGTGGATGTTATATGAGTACATGGCCAATGTGCAATCTTTTGTATCATTGATAATGGCCAATCTTGTCGACGACATTGATTTAATTAAACTATAGGGATTGGTAGGGTGCCACCACACTTCAAAACACAGTGACGCTTTCTCCCTTAACTATGCCTATAAGTTCCTAATGCAAGCATTTGGGCTGCAGCTCTATATAGAGCTCAAATTGGCATCACTAGAAGCGGAGAAGAAAATTCTCCGGACACAAACATTATTATGTGATCTACTTCTCTGGGATATTCCACTGGGCATTGTGACTCGATCTCTTATTATCATTAATCTTGTGTGATGATGGTACTGCATTATATTATAGTGGAAAATGTTGGTTGTTTGGTGTCACTCCAACTGAGGTACAAGTTAAAGATATTGTAGAATGACTATTAAATACTCATGGGGACTCAACCGGGTTAAGTACAGATAGTCTTATCGATGCTGGCTATCCCAGTGCGAGTCTCCTGGGTGATGCAGTTTGTGTAATGACAATGGCTCGAATTACGTATAGTAGTTCGTTTAGTCGTTTCCCATCCGATTTTTAATTTTGGTTCAAGTGCCACACAGCAGAGGAAATCAGATGGGGAGGGAAAAATCATTGCCAAGAAAGCAAAGATGATGGAAGCAAAATGCACCCCATATCTTCATTCAAGGCCTTTCTCGAGGTAGTCAAAAGACGAAGTTTGCCATGGGAGGTTTCAGAGATTAATGCTATTCACACTTTGTAAGTCATAATTAGACATTCTTTTTAGGAGTCTGAAGACTCTAGTGCTAAACTTGTTATACATTCTCAACTGAATGATTATGATAGGCCAAAGCTGGATGAACTTAGTTATATGGCAGCTGAAATTGTGCGATTGATAGAGACTGCTAGTGCTCCAATATTTTGGGTGAATTTATATGACTTCATCAATGGATTGAATGCTAAAATAATTGAATTAACGGGATTACAAGCTACCGACACTATAGGGAAATCTTTAGTTAATGACAACGTTTATGAAAATTCATGTGGAGTTGTCAAAAGTGTTCTGCACAAAGCTATGGAAGGTAAATTCATATGACACATAAAGTATGCTTCTATGTATACTAAGGGTAATCTTTTTTATGTTTTCAAGTTTTCACTTGTTTAGACATTTAATCATATTAGAATAAATAAATATATATAAGACAGACTTAAAAAATTATGAGAAAGATTTGGATAAGTATAGCAAATTCCGTCTCTGTGTTAGAATCAATCAACCAACTTAACAGCATTCAGAATCCATGGTGCAAGGCAGCATACACCCCGATTTTTAGGGGTGAGAGTATATGTTGTTAGACACTTGACAGTGTTGTATGGGTAGGACCACGATATTCCCCTATATGTAATTGTTTGTATTGTATTGATGTGTATATAAGGTAAACGAAAGGAAATATTCATTAAGCTAAAAAAATTTCTCAAACAATTCTAACTTTCAACTTTGTATTAGAGCCACATGGCTAACACCACTATAAGCAACCGGTCTTCTCCAATTGAGTCGAGCACTACAACATCTACTGAAGCTACCGTGAATCAGATTTCACCATTTAGGATGAACCTTACACAAAATCAATCAGTGAAACTGGACAATAATAACTTTTTGTTATGGAAAAACATGATTATGCCCATAATCAAATGGCATAACCTAGAAGGCTACCTAATGGGGACAAAGTAGTGTCCACAAGAATTCATACGCAAACCACCACTGGTGGAGGAGAAGCCATAGAGACGACTTAGAATCCTGAGTATAACATCTGGATTTCAATCTATCAGCTGTTAATGGAAATGTTGTATTCATCCATGACTCCATAAATAATAATGAAGGCCATGGGGTGCACTAGTTCAAGCAGGACATGGAGTGTAGTGGAAGAAATCTATGGTACATTGAATAAATTAAGGGTCATATTTTTTACTAGAAAATTGGAGAGGACCAAGAAAGGCTCCATGACCATGGACCAATATTTTACTAGTATCAAACAGCCCTACAAATAGCTGGAAAGGCTGTTGATCACATTGATATTGTAACTAAAGTTTTGTTAGGACTCGATGAAGAATATATATCCATTGTGGTGTAGATCAATAGCAGGAACAAACATATCCTGGTATAAACTATCTTCTGTTCTAATGACATTTGAGAAGAGACTTTGAATATTTCAATCAAGTTTAGAACAACTTAGTATTAGTGAATATTGGTCAGCCAAGTATACAACTAACACAAAGAACTGGTTTAGGTGGTGGCAGAATCTTTAGAGGTGCTAAGAGTGGGAGATAATTGAATTTTAGAGAAAGAACAAGAGGTAGAGGTAGAACAGGCAGGGTAAATGAAAATCGAGGACCTTGTCAAATTTGTAGACTCAATAAGAACTCAACCAACTGGTGCTTTAACAAATATGATGATAGATATATGGGTAGCAGACCTAGCAATCAAAATATCAGAATAGCAGCTCTTCTCCCATTGTCTGTGTAGCCTTACCTAGAACTCTTGAAGATCCAACCTGGTTAACGGATATTGGTGTAGGTAATCACGTGACAGCTGATAAAGGTAATCTGACTATTGTTAAGAAATAAGAAGGAAGGAGAAACTAATCGTTAGTGATGGAAACTCTTTACATATTGCGTATATTGGAAAAGGAAATGTTCCTACATTGAATGGTAAGCCTCTTGCATTGCATAGACTGCTACATGTACCTACAATCAAAAAAAATAATAATTAGTATTTTTCAACTAACAAATGATAATAATGTACTTATGGAGTTTTATCCAGATTTTTGTGTTATTAATAACCTATAAACGAAGACTCTGCTACAATGGATGCTTAAAGATGGGCTGTATCAGCTAAGATTGCCAAGTTCTAAGTCCAAACTCGTAACTAAAGAGTCAAACAACCAAAATAAATCCAATCGTGCCCCTATTTGAACCACGTTAAAATTTTCATTCTCATTCTTCTACTCATTTTCAACCACACATTCTTCAATAAAATAATATTTTCCATCACATCAATAATTTTTCCTTCTTCTTCAACCGCGCATTCTCCATCAATCTACTATTTTAAAATATATTCTTCTAAAACAATGTGGTTCAAACACACCATGTGTAACCTTCCTAGCGAGTCCCAATTGTGATGAGTTAACCAAATATGTTAAGTTGTTAGAGTCAGAGCTGGATGTTTGGTATAGAAGAGTAGGCCATCCTTCAAACCAGATGTCGAGTCAAGTTCTAAAGTCTTGTAATACATTCACCAAAGCTAGTGAAAATCCAGTTTTTTGTGAATCATGTCAGCTTGGCAAATCCCATGTACTACCTTTTAACATATCTTCATTACATGCATCAAGTCCATTAGACCTTATACGTACAGAAGTTTGGGGATCATCACCAAAAAATTCTACCTTGAGGGTTTAGGCACTATATCATATTTGTTGATCATAGAAAATTCACTTGGATGTATGAGACACAAATCTAAAGCACTAAATACATTCATTTAGTTAAAAAAATTTATCACGTACAACTTGATCTCTAATCGTAAAATCACCATATATATCATTTTCTAATTCTATTAGAATATCCTTCAAGTTAAACATATTAAAATTTCGATAGGATTTTCTTCGACATGATAGGATTCCGGTCAAATAGCAAGTTGCAATCTCAGTCTTTGTTTGAAACTATTTTTTTCAAAATCAATTTTTACATCAACATTTTCAACACACATAATTCAAAATTTTGTTTTTCACATTTCTTCATAACTTTTTTTCTATTTTTTAACAACACTTTCTAAGAAAAATAACTTTTTTACAAAATTACTTCTACAATATCAACTCATACGTGCTAAATGTTACCAGTCAATAATTTTTATATATAGTCCTTTGATTGATT